ATACTTAATTATTTTTTAATAAAAAACTAATTTAAACTAAATTTAGAAATTTTAAAAATTAAATTAAGAAATTCTTAATTTAAAATTAACTTTTATAGCTGTTTCATAGTTGAGGAGTAAATTAGAGATTTAAAAAAGGAAGTGATTAAGAGGTCAATGGTCAATCAACAATTAAATTTAACCCTTTTTTTGGATTAGGCCGTCGGATAATTTTTTTTTTACAATATTTTCATATAATTTCTTCATCTCACGTAACTATGCACTTAATATTATAAATTTTAAATTAATAAAAAATTAAATATGAAATTGATGCATAAAATTATATTAAAAAGTATTTAAAAAATTATACCTCAATTATTTTCCTTTTGGATTTTACTTTTTACCGACACTTTCCTTCAAATACGCCATCATGCTCCATTTCACTCCAATCACATTCTGCCAGAAAGATGGAAGTCTGGTTCATCATCCTCATCACAGTCTCCGTTGCGCTTCTCCTTAGAGCGCTCCTCAACCTCCTCTTTCCGACGAAATCCCCCGCCCACTCTCTCCCTCCCGGCCCCTCCACCATCCCCATCGTCGGCCCCTTCCTATGGCTCCGCAAACTCACGTCCACCTCGGAGATGGAACTGATTCTCCGCAAACTCCACCCAAAGCTCGGCCCAATGGTCACCCTCAATATCGGTTCTCGCCCTGCCATCTTCGTCGCCGACCGCTCCCTCGCCCACCAGGCCTTGGTCCAGAACGGTGCCGTTTTCTCCGATCAACCTAAACCTGTCCCAACCAGATTCTGAGTAGCAATCAGCACAACATCAGTTCTGCAGCCTATGTGGAAAAAAAAAGGAAAAGAGATGGGTTTAACTGCTGACCGTTTGGGACTTAACGGTCAGCAGTGACGGCAACATGGACAGTGTTAGGGGAGGGACGACAACGAACAAAAAAAGCCAAGTAGAGGGACGACGTTTTGGCTCTTTGGAGAGGAGAGTAGAGGGATGACAACGAACATGACCTTAGTAGAGGGACAAGAACGAATAAAATATTAAAGTAGAGGGACGACAGTTGGCTTTAAACCTAAAAAGTTCGCTGCAGACGGCAAAAAATAAAAAAAAAGAAAGCCCGATTCTTCTTCCATCCAGAACCCCCTTTCTCCATTTTTTTCTCCGATCAATAGCCTCCAACTCCATTACCGGTCATCACCCGATTCTTCTCCCATCCAGAACCCTCTTTCCCCATTTTCTTCGATCATCAGTTTTCACCCCTTCTGTCACCGATCACCATTCTCATCACTCGTTCCTCATCATCGATCTGCGCTCCTTCGCCTAACAACAGTCGCAAGTCATCTCCTCCGTCTCACAGCAACCGACCAACCATCAGGTGATTCCTCCACTTCATGAAAGTAAAATCGAGATTTCAAACGATTTTACCATAAAATCGCGGTTTTACGATTTTTTCTTCCGATTTCATGGGATTCTGATTTTAACATAGATTTTACTAGAAATACATACTTAAAATCGTAAAATCGTAGCATTTTACGATTTAAAACTCGATTTTAACAACCATGCCACCCCTAATATTTTCTTATGCAACTGATGAGCTTCATTCACGTTCAAATGGCTTCACAAATGGTTTGGTCCTCCTTTCCGTTCTCAACATATATACTTTTCCACCTTCTGATTTCTTTGTACAATATATGTAGTACCACTAATCATCTCAAATTGTACATATTATTTCCGCAGATTGCATCATTTTGGTAAAGTCTGCAGCATATATTCTGCCGTCTTTCTTCTATCTCAAACCCTCTAATTGAGGAAGCCCAACTCCGAAACGAGCTGGTATAATTTTTCAGTCCCTGCATATTATATAAATGATAATTAATTTTTTTTATCATATTAAAATTCTCAATAAGAATTTCATATAAAAAGAATTGTTATTTATATATGTTATTTAATTTTCATTTGAAATTTATATCTTAAAAATCAAAAAGTTAAACTAAATTTATTAAAAATAAATGGAAGGAGTAAGTTTTAGAGTGTTTTTCTTTTTTAGTTTCTTTGAAATTTATCTTTAAAGTAATTAGAAAGTATATATTCAAGCAATCGCAAAACCTTTTGTTAGATACATCCTTACTAAAGTCCTTTCTAGTTGTTTGGAGAAAACTCCTACATGTTCTTCTTTTAATTAACTATTTTACCGTTGATTTCTCTCTTTTTTTTGAACCTGTACATAAAAATATTAACCCTTTTTTAAAGTTGGTTTTATCTACTTATTTCAAGTTCAGCTACAAGGTTAGTAATAGCGAGGATATTAATTTCCTAGCACATGTACCATATAAGTTATGTTTGATTTTATGAAATTTTGTTATGCATTTCATCGTATTATGTTTGATATGATGGTCAAATTTTCTTCTTCTTTTTTTTTTTTTTTTCCATAGTCTATTGCAGATCTGAGTTTCTTTAGGATTGCAAATCATTTCTTAAATGAACCCCTTTTTCTTATCTTTTAGATTGAAAATGAAAGGAATTCGTATAAATAAAAAAAGTGATCGATACATAATATATTTAACATATTTTTTGACACCTACTTGGTTCAATTATTAAAAATATAATATAAATACAACTAATTTAACTAGTTTCTATATTTTGTGTGTATGACTATATTTTTAAGTTTTTCTATTTTAATTTCATATAAAAATAATGACTTTCTGAAAAGTGTATTCTGTAAAATGTTGAATCGGAGTATGACCAATCAGTGTCCTATAAATAAATTCCCTATTAAATTCTCATATTTTACAAATTTTTAATCCTTTTGCTATAAAGTATAAATTAAAGCAAAATTAACGAATTCATTTTTATTATGTAGATTGTATCATTTGGTTTGTTAACTTCGTATTCTCCAACCTGTGTTATCAAGCTTCTTCAAAAACTCTCAAATTGATCAAGAAAC